GTCTCCTAATCCATCTTAGAGGCCAAACTTCTGCAAAGCAGGCATGGGAGGATATAAGGGGACTCTTTGTAAGAGTCAGCATTGGAAGCCAAATCCAAATTGCAAGAAAGGTATTTCATACCAGATTACAAACTGTTGGGAGTATGTTACAACATTTAGAGCTAATGAAAACAATGCTCATGGACTTAAGAGAGAAAAATATAGTATTTACAGAGCTACAAGAAGCTTTCATAATTCTCTCTTCACTAGACAAAACATATGACCAATTTGTATCCAATTTAGAGGTTCTTCCACAAACTGAACTGACAGGATTGAATGTAACCAGTAGGCTTATGGAGGAGGAACAGAAGAGGAAAGATAACTTGCAGCTACATGACTCCAAACCTTCTAATCATAGAAGCAAGCAGAGTGAAATTGAGGAGGAGGTCACAGCTGCAAATATTCAACCTGGAAGGTTATGCTTTGCCTGTGGTTCCAGATGACATCTGATTAAAAATTGTAAATTTAAGAAGAAAGAAAACAGCCATGACATGATAAAGACTCATCACATCTGGCAGAGACTATTTATAACACCAAACACCACAATGAAGAATGGATTGTTGACTCAGGGGCCACAGCTAACATGTGTAAGGACAAGAAGCTGATATTCAATTTTCAGACAGTATTTAATCAACAAGTATTTTTGGCTAATGGTGTAAGTGCCAAAATTTTGGGCAAAGGTAAAGTAAAATTACCATGTTCTAAACAGCCGATTGATGTAATACATGTGCCAAAACTGAAACATAATTTACTATCAGTTAGCTCATTAGCTAAAGAAGGCTTTACTAGCACATTCTACAAGAGTAAATGTGTAATTATTGGTGAAAATAATGAAAAGCTGACTTGCTATATTAGAAACAATCTATATAGGTTGAACAGTGTAAATGCTAATAATGTCTATGAAAATGTATGCCCACATAAGGATTGTATTCACTTGTGTCATTTGAGATTACGTCATGCTAACTATAAGACATTATGTAAGACAATAGAAAACTCAATTGGAGTAAATTTAAAGCAGTGTGATAAGTACATAAACTGCCAAGCTTGTCAATTAGCTAAAAGTAAATGTGCTCCTACTAAGAAACACAGTAATATACGAGTTGACAACATTTTAGACCTAGTATCAATGGATTTAATAGGACCTAAACGTGCATCTTTAGGAGGAGCAAAGTACATTCTTTCAATCCAAGATCAGAAATCTAGATTCGGTTTCTGCTACTTGATGAAGGATAAAAGCTCAACACACATTGAATTTGAAAAATGGTTGAAGTTTGTGGAAAGGAAGACAGGCAGAAAAGTTAAGCAGATACAGACAGATAATGGAACTGAATTTACAAATGCAAAGTTCCAGTCAATTTTGAGCAAGCATGGGATTACTCGTAGAAAATCAGCTCCTTACACCCCAACACAAAATGCCTTCATAGAAAGAAGAGGTCAAACACTTCAAAATATGGCTGAGGCTATGATAAGAGGCAGTAAACTTTCAGAACGATATTGGGGAGAGGCTATTCTTTGTGCAAACTTTTATTTGAATATACTTTGGCACAGTGGCATAAATAATATTCCATATACTATCTGAACAGGGAGAAAACCAAATTTAAAATTTCTGCATGTATTTGGGTCACCTGCATGGGTACATATCCCTAAGGAGACAAGGAGAAAGGGTGAGAAGAAGGCTAAGCTAATGTATTTTTTGGGTTACCAACAAAATAGAAAAGCATATAGATTTGGTTTACCAGACACAAACAAAGTAATAATTAGCAGCAGTGCCTCATTTAATGAACATGTTTATTGGGACAAAATTAGTTTGCCTCCAGAAACCATCATCCACACACTAGATAGTCAGGAGAACTCACATCAAGAACAGGTGATCAAGAAAGAGACAGAACCTGTTGAACCACAGCCAGATAGCGAAATCCCTTCTACCTCAGAGGAGAGAGAATTGCCTAGGAGATCAGCCAGGGAGCATAGACCTCCAGATAGATATCAACCAGAAACTTATTGTCTTAACGTCGCAGAGCCTGAAACTTATGAAGATATTTGCAATATGCCAAAGATTGAACAAGAAAAATGGAAAGAAGTATTAGATAAGGAGTTAAATTCTCTGAAACAATTAAAAGTATATGAGGAAATTGAGGAACCTGCTAACTGTAAAATTATTGGGTGCAGGTGGATATTTAAGAAGAAAGTTGATGCTGATGGTAATTTAAGATATAGAGCAAGGTTAGTTGCAAAAGGTTATTCTCAAACTTCTAATGATTACGATCAGGTATTTGCACCGGCATTAAGACCAGAAACCTTGAGATTCATGTTAACATATGTAGCTAAACACAATCTAGTTTCTAGGCATTAGATATAGCAACAGCTTACCTATATGCAGATTTGCAACTGATCATATATATGAAGATACCACCTAGCATTGAAAAAAAAGGTAAATGTTGGCTATTGAAAAAGAGCTTATATGGATTGAGGCAGAGTGGATATGAATGGAACCAGCATTTATCTAAAACACTCAAAGGCAATGGATTTTTACAAAGGAAAAGCAGATCCATGTCTATTTATCAAAAGGGATGAGCAAGCTATTGTATTGATTTTTGTAGATGGCATTGCTCTATTTACAAAGGATGAGAAATCTGCAAATAACATAATCCAAATGCTAAAGAAAAACTATAATTTAAGGGACTTGGGTGAGATTAGCAACTACTTAGGAGTAGAAATAAAAAGATATGCAAAAGGATTCAAAATAGCTCAGAGAAATAAAATAATGAAGCTATTAAAGCAATACAACATGGAAAATTGCAAAGGTGCCATCACTCCAATGACAGTAAAATTTGAAAAAGAAAGTGTAACAGATCCTGAATGTGATATTGATTTGTATAGATCTTTGATAGGTAGTTTGTTGTACCTAAGCAGATGGTCTAGACCTGATATATATATAGCAGTAAATTTACTATCAAGAAATGTGAGCAAGCCAAACGAAAAACATTGGCAAGCTGCTAAGAGAGTATTGAGATATTTCAAAGAGACACAAAACAATTATATTTAGAACCAAAAGGAGAGTTGAACATAACTGCATACGCTGATGCAAATTATGGAAATGATATCATAACAAGAAGATCTACTTCAGGAATGACAGTTCATGTAGGTGAAAGTTTAGTAAACTGGAAAACAGCAAGACAAAAATTCATATCACGATCATCTGCTGAGTCAGAATATGCTGCACTATCAGAACTATGTACTGACCTTGTTTACTACAAAGAATTAGCACAGGATCTAGGGATAGATTTACAAGATCCAATAGCAGTTAATGAAGATAACCAGGCAGTCATTCAAATGGCAACTTCTCCAAATATTAAAAACAGGTCAAAGCACACAGATATACGATATCAAAATGTAAAACAAAGTACTGAAAATGGAATGATTAAACTGATTTACTGTGAAACAGAAAAGAATATTGCAGACTGTTTAACTAAGGTACTGGGACCCACAAAACATGAAAAAGCTTGTAACATGTTGGGAATGAAATGAATATGCATGTAAATATTCTGTAATGTGAAATACTGAAAAACAATTTAAAGCTGTATATGTGTAAGCAAAACTGAATTCAACAATTGGAGGAGATTGACAGGTTTGAGCTAAACCTGAAGGAATTGTTAAATACAGTTTTTGTACATAGCAATAAGTATTTATCAGAATCAGTACTATAGAGTGGAGTAAGGCAAGAATTTATACAGCTGAGTAAATTGTAACAGCTGTGAGAGCAATCCCAGGATTGGCTAACCCTGGGATAAAGCTAGCAGACCTAGCACACACACTCTGTGGTGGTGTGGATTGGTGTCGTCGTTTTGCTGTGCTGGAGTATCCTGGAAGAAGCCGTGTCTTCGTACTGTATATTGGAAGAAGAACTCTGGCTACTGGACTGAACATATGGTATTTGACTGCTGAACTAATTTACAAGGACTTTGACTCTGATTTATGCATTGAACTCTGTGGAAACTGCTGTGTATGACTTCGGGACTGGAAACAAAGACTAAGCTGTACATGTATGTATATATCCTGTTAATAATACAACTATTCTGCTATCATCACTGCTTTATTGCTTGGTGTATTCATCTCTCAGGGAAGTTCTTTTGGTTAGCGCCATCTGGTGCATCCTGGTAATACCGCAACTCTGTCACTTTTTGCAGGGCCTAGAAGTCCAAGGGCCTGGTGCACCAAGACATTTTTTAACAGAAATCTCTATTGTTTTTGCATCTACTGTAATTTCAAGGGCTTATAACTCAGAATCTGGCAAGATGCCATTATGATAATAAGCATCATTCTTCTGACTTAATTTTTGCAAAGCCTGGAGGAATAAAGGCCTGTAAAATAAAGCATCTGATCCTCCAAAGTACTGTAGACACAGAGGGCAGAAGTTGTAGGACCTGCAAACTTCATCTTCAGTCATATAAACACATTGCAACATAAATACATTCTGGTTATTTCAATACTCTCTTTTGTTTATGCTTTTTAATAATGTGTAAACACATTAAGTTGTTAGCGATGTTATGGTACATGGACCTTGCTGGCTGGAGAACTGCCTAATTATTTTGCAGCAATTGTAATAAACTGCTATTCAAGTTTAATTTCTAGAGTTGCTATTTCTACATCACTCTTAAATTATTTCCACACTCTATACATACAGCATTTTCCAACTTGACAATGGCACTCTCTTTAATATACAATGTCCCTGCTATGGCCGTCAGGCACATGCCTTCTGCTGCAACTGGCATCTTCTCAGCAGCAATTCACTGCAGTGAGTTACACTGTTCAACTCATACAGGTGTAAATCACCAGCAGGATTTGTTACTTCTTGTTTAAACAGGAACACGTTAGCAATGTGCTACTACAGTACTTTTTAGCTGTTGTCTTTTTTTAAAAACCACACAGCGGGATGGAGTACAGATGACTCCCAAAAGGCAATGTTTTAAGAATGACAGGTCTGCATGACATGCTTTACTGAAAACCACAAGGGCATTTGCTTATTGCTTTGATGTTTTGGAAAAACAATATTATGCCTGGGTAACCCCCTCCCCCGAATTAAAACATTACATGTAACAATTATTAGCTATAATATACCATTCCCAAGCTATGCCCCAGAATGCTGGGAACACAGAGGAGCCATGAGCCAAGGACACCTGGGACACATCATCTGCAAAGGGCTTGTGACACACAAAAGGACAGGTATGTATCCTGCACCCACTTGTGTTCAAACTTGGCGACATATACGGTCAGATGGTTGCCAGATCTAGGATGCCAGTCCACCTCCCTTTGTCATAGAAGAGTCTCCCTGGGCAGGAGAATCATAGTGGAGTATGCAAAAGTCACCACCTGAGTAGATACTGAATCCACCACCAAGGTATAGGGTTGAAAACTGAGGCTATGCAATTCCAGTTCAAGGAGGAAGGAAGGGTAGGGCCAGAAGAAGACAGAAGTGCCATGAATGCTTCCACACATTCCTCAACAGGGCCACCATGTAATTCCAGCATAACACAAGTAAATGGGAAGCAGAGACAGGTATCTATGCTCAGAATGTTATCTGGTGGTTGTGGAAGAACATCACGGTGTTCACGAAAACGAGAAGGCAGAAGGTAGCGTTCGAATTCTGTTTGCGTGCTCTTTGCTCTACTCAGACTCCCCTTCTTAAAAATCAGTAAAATGCTGCTCCTGGAAGCATCCAGGAATAGTGATTCACCCTTTAAGTAGGTCCCCGGAGTGTTTAGCACCCAAAGAGACCTGTTTGTCAAAGCAGAAAGTGAACTTTGGATAAATTCCAGAGTCACAGCTTCCGTTTGTGTGTGTATGTGTATGTGTGTGTATGTTTTTGGCTATTTGTGTGGCTCCTGGAGGTTCCTGGCAGAGAACGTGGGCACCAGAACAGCCCAAGCTGTCCTCTCCTGACTTATATAAAGTCTAACTGCTTCAAGTTATTTCAGGGTTGCCTGTAAACAAGGTACTAATTACAGTTTTGCAACAACAATAAAAGGAGGTAAGGTTTGGCAATGGCATATTTATATAGGTCCTCCCCAACCCTCTCCACACTGTAGATTCCCTGGATCAAGGTTGTGACAAGGACTCTATAAAAGCAAAAAGCTCCTCGGTCAAAATATTTTTTTAAAAAGCGAACAAACCTTCTCATTTTAAGATTTTTGCTCAGGACAATCAATGCTTACACTTGGGCAATGAACATTCTGGACTGGTTCCAGGCACTGCGTTGGCAAAACAATTAGCCCTGAACATAAGGGAGGTGGTTTGACAACCAGAGGATCTGCCTTCCTCTTTCACTTGTGTTGTGCCAGAATGCCACGATCAGAGACATGAGAGTGTCTCCCATTCCCACATATGCCTATATTCACCGATAAGTAAGGCTGAGTCCCATGTACGAAGTTGAGAAGACCAGGAACTCTTTGTAGAGCAACTTGTAGATGCTTCCACGCCAGAGGGTCAGCAACTTGTAGAAGCCACCAAAGCGAGCATTGGCCACCCGGGCTGTGTATGTGACAGTCATGGCGGGTCAGAAAGAGATCTGGTGGGCCTGCAATACAAGGAGAAGCAGAGTTCAGTCTTTATGATGGCAAACAACTCACCAGCAGCATCCCCAAGTCTGCTTCTCAGAACAGGCCTTGCGGCTTTGCCCTGCCCTTCCTTGAGCAGCAGCCTCCACTCTGTGACCCAACGGGAGGCAATGAGCAACTTGTGGTCTTCCAGAAATTACTGGATTATACCTCCCAGTATCTCTCACCCATGGACTGTACAGTACTGAGATTTGAACTGTAGCAACCTCTGGAGTCTTACAAGTCTGCTGCTGGGAGGAGATCATATTAAACCTGAACTTTCTCTTTCCCTCATCATCACTCCTTCTTCTAAACAGGAGGAATATTTGGGAGACTGTCTTATCTGTCCCTGTGCAAGGGGGATCTCCTCTGGACATTCACTCATTCTCCTCTCTTGGTGAGTAAAAGGACATTCTGTTGTGATAAATACAAGTATAATATTCTATTGTATGGGATTGCTTCTCCCCATTAGTTACTTCTTACAGCAAGGGAGATGGGGAATACAAAGACTAAAGGAGGCACTTGAAAAACTAGCATTTATGGTCTGAAACCCTCTTGCTTAATGTAGTAATTTACATTAAAGTAGGCCCTACCTATCAGTAGAGACTGGTGAGTCAACTCCTCCATAATAGGACTAATGATTCAACTGGGTCTAATCTAGTTGTAACTTATGCTAAAGTAGGTTGCAACTAGAGTAGGCCCATTTGAATTAATGGAACCTACAGAGTTGTTGACACACTAAAACCCCACTGATTCAGTGGGCCTAAACTAGTGTGACTTACTACACTAAGCAACAGGATTTCAACCAGTGTCCTAAGCCTTTTGTAACATATGAAATCTATATGGTTTGAGTGTATGCAAGTGTGTATGCACACATTTGTGTGGGCATGACACAAACACACATATATGCCACACCATTTGGAGCCTGTGGACCGCACAGAGGTAGTATCACTGAATTTCAGGAAGGTATCCCCCACTTGGTTACCAGATACCCATTACCTGTCTACCTGGATACAGAAGGGGAGACGATGCTTTCTCTAAAAATAAGGCATAGCATAATCTCATGCAGTGTGAAAAAATAGCTGGAAATTTGTCCCATGCAGAGCACAAAGGAATCCATATGAATAACATACTCATACAAGCCAGCGTTCACTGGGAAGTTATACAAGTACAAAAATAAACAACATAAATAAGTAGCTGAAGAAGAACAGTAAAGATTCCGCAGAGGACGGGGTATCTGCCAGTCTAGGGGCAGAACAGCCCAGCTCTAGGGGTCGAGCCTGTACAGTGGGAAAGTATTTTTATACAGTACTTTGATGGGTTCCAGCATAAAACATGATAATCAGAGAGTATAACAAATTTACTGTGTAACAGCAAACAAATAGAACAGTGCTGCTTGTTAATTATGTTCCGCACCAACTGGAGTCAGTAGTAAAAACGTTTCAGAATCATTAGATCACATTTGATCAGGCTCCCCTGCCCTGCAGTAACAGCCTGTCGCTATGCCTAAGCACGTAGAACTCAAATAATCTCACCCAGCTGCTGACCCCCCTCCCTGCACCTCTTCCCTCCCATTTCTCCATTCTTTTGCCTGCAGGGATTTTTTTTATTGTTCTTGTGCCCTCCTCCAGGCAGAGATCTGCCCTTGTGCACAATTTGTGCTATAAACATAATAATACCGCTATATCTGGGAGAGCAGCTCCATGCAGTCAACTATGATAACAGAGAAAAAGCCCTGCAGAGGTTTTGAAGATTCCCCGGAGCTCTTTTTCCAGTTCTCTGGGTGAAAGCCCCACTAGGACTTGCTTCTGATGTACACACCGACCCCTGTGCTGTCAGACCACCTTGCTTTCCCATTTCCTTATTACATTTTTGTTCTGCCATTCCTCCGAGTTGCTCATATGTATAAAGAAGGCCAGAAGGTTCCCCCCTATTTATGACCCCATCAGTCCTGCAAGATATTTTATTTATTTTTATTTATTGATTTGATTTATATCCCGCCCATCTGGTATATTCTACCACTCTGGGTGGCTAAGAACAAACATATATACAATTAAAATAATATAAATCCATTGACATCATCATTAACAGATATGTTGGGCTGTATGGGATAGTGAATAGCTCAGGCTCATCCACAAGGCTTAGTGGCCAAATTGGGATTCCTCCTGTCTCGAGCCAGACATCTAACCACTCTATCACACAGTCTCTTGGCAAGCTATAATTAGCTGCAGCAGGTTATATTGTCTCCGTTCACCAGCAGGAAATAGTAGCAGAAAGAACAGAATAATGTGTATCAACACAAAATAAGTGGCATCTCAACAGCAAAATCAGATATACCCAAAGAATCCATAAGAGAACCACACATGTGATTGTGCAACATTCTGAGTTTATAATGGAAATAGGCGCCATACGGTGTTCAGCCATGTCAAAAACTACTACATGTTTGCAGATAATCCACAGTGGTCTTTATTACAGCACAAAACATGCTTATTTTGAGGCAGCCATGGCTGAGGAGAATGTCAGTGGTGTCAGTGGTGGCAGTGGCAGCAATGGAAGGAGCTGGTCTCCCTGGTGACCCCGCTGCCACCGCGCTCCTACCCAGCCACCCTCTGGCCACCTGCCAGACAAGATCTCTTGCCTGCCTGGTTGGCTGCTGGCCGGCAGTGGCGGCGGCTGGAGAGGGCTTTGGTAGCAGCGGTGCCCAGGGTGGGTGAGTGGGTGGCTGAGAGAAAGGGGGCTAAATGAAGCCATCATTCGTCTGCCGTCCCCTCTGTCGTGGAAGGAAGGTCAGAAGGAAAAGAGTACAGGGGAAGAGAAAGGAAAATGTATATATACAGAAGAGCAAGAGTCCAAGGGGCAGAGTGGTAAGAAGAGAAGAGAAGAGGCAGACGTGGGGATAGTCGAGGCAAAGAGAGAGAGAGAGAGAGGGATGAGTCTGACCGGGAGGTTGGGGTTGGATATGGATGGAGAATCCCTGGACCCATGAATGGGAAAAGCTGATGCTCCCAGCAGAGGAAATTGAAAAGAGAAGGAACAGACACACACCCACACCCCGGAAACCATTACACAGGAGAGAGTGGGAAAGGAGAGAGTGGAACAAGAAGATCAGAGAGAAGAAAGAATCAGAGTGGAAGAACGGGGGAGGGAGACGGCAGGAGAGAAGACCCTCCACGTGGTGGGGTGTCGCAGCACAAGAAGCAACTATGCCAATCTCGGAGTGAAGATCGGAGATGATTCGCTGCCCTTGTCGCACCTGCCATTGCCCCGGGAACTCGGATGAGACGCTGAAACCCAACCCAGGTGGGATTGTTGGATGGACAAGGAAGTCCTGTTGCTCTCAAGAGCCAAATAGAACGAAGCCTTTCTTGCCTCCTTGGCAGGGGAAGAGAGAGGTGATACTTTGACACAGTTAATATTGGCTTGGAGAGATTTGTAGTAAAGAAAGAAAGTTTAAAGCAGGACATGCACTCTGTAATTCCTTTGGGAGAAGGGGAACACAGGAGGGGGGGAAAGGATGAACCCTCGCAGCATGTCTCCCCAGCCATTAAAGATGCTGCCACTGCACTCTTTACTGCTCCCGTCCACGGCCCACCAGACAAGTCTTGCTGATGGCAGAGGAAGCCCTGATGCAGTTTGTGCAATGGGGCACACATTGGCTACTCTTTTAAACCACAGTAAGATTTGTGCCATGTGAAGCAACAAAAGTGGCTTCACATTCCAACCCTTTTTTCCCCTGGGTGTGTAGTTGCGTCCCGAGGAGCAGGATTATTGTCATCAGAATGCTGTCATGGCGCCTTTGTTTCCCACACCCCTGATTGCACAATTCAATTGTACATTGAAAGAGTGGGAAGACACGAGGCTACAAAACACACCCATGTGCGAAACTGCATGGGGTTTTGCAGCCCAAGCCCTTGTTGGGATGGTGGTGACCTTGTCAATCCCTTGGCCTTTTGTTTTAAGCAGCAGGGATCGTGCATGTGGTGCTGGGCGGTGATGGATCAAAGCCCTAGTGGATCAGAGTCAATAAAGCAGACAGTTGCCCCATGAGAAATCTTTAGGTCATATTGCCTCCAGATTGTGTATTGCTCACCTGGTTTCAACCTTTTTCCCCTCCTTTGAATGATGAAAGAGATTTCAGAAGAAGGTTATGCTAGCTATAGGTATAATCTGTGCGTTTTCTGTTCTCAAGGAACTGTTTGTTCCTCACTTCATTGTTTGTACAACAACCCAATAATCATGTTGATTAGGGACTTCTAAAACAGATGGTGAGTTTGGAAGTGCAAATATTCATTATGAGCCTCCCCAAAGCTGACCTTCCCATCCCATGGTCCAAAAATGGAGGTGGCTAGATTGGTCCATAAAACAGGAATGGGTCTTTCACAAAGCTAATGCCTCTTAACTGCCCATTCAAACCTAATAGCAGATGCTGTCATAGTACTTGTCAATCAGAAAGTCACCAGGCTTCCACTCTGTGATCCCTGACTCTGACTATATCGCCACCCAAGATACAGTTTGATGAAGTCTGGACTGATTCGTTTCTAGAAGACAGGATAAAATGTCCATTTCTTGCCTTATCCGGCAGCCAGCAGTCCACAGAGGCCGTAGCAGGACTCTCCTGCCCCAAATCTGGTACATTCCATGGAGAGATTCTTTTCTCCTGCTTGTTTTTCCAGAGAATTGAGAAATCAGATCCCCCTCACTGTGCAGAGTGCAATCAAACCCTCCTGGCTTAATAATGGCAGGCAATGCCTTTGAAGGAGGCCCATATCCCCAGCTATCTAAATGAGCACATTCATTAATGAGTAATGCTGGTGGGAGCCCGTTTTCTCCCTCCATCAAAGATCTAAGGCTGGCTTACTGCAGGAGTTAACCACTCCCTGAGGTTTAAGTGACAACAAATACTCAAAGCCCCTGTTTGTCTTTCCTTCCAGCACAACTACTAGAAAGAAAGAGGAGAGAGAGAGAGAGAGAGAGAGATGGG